AAACTGAAAAACAACAACAAACTTTGTTTACTGCAAACAAAGTGGCAAATATTATGTTGGAGGACATCATTGCACTTGGTTGACTATTTTTCTATGATCTTAGATGTAAATATTGCATGTTTCCTTCAGATAAAACACATTTTTGACTTGTGAATGAGTCAATGGAATTTCTTGCAATAATGAAAAAACACTGGCAATCATGTTTGCCTGGCACAAACCACATGTTTTGGACAGCTGTGAAGTGACAGAATGTCCCAGCATCATGGTTCTTATAGACCGTTTCAAACTGGACAACATAAACATTCTAAATGGGTCCCTTTGTATTTCCAGTTTGAATGTATGTTAATGCAGAAGCTGACAGGAAGTAAACAGGGACCAATGTTGTTGCCCTAGCAACAGAATAGCAATGAAACGGTCCATATTGCCAGAGAGTCTCCCCTCTTCATATATGGCAGAATATGTCATTTTCCAACTTTTTATGCTGAGATACATGTAAAAATGTAAGAATTTAGTAACATGGATTTGTTTTTTTCATTGATATAAAAATTATAATAAAATACAGGCACATAGGAGGACATGGAATGATGGCAAATCTGGATAGCCCACATTGTCCTGAAAAAAGCAAGATATAGCATGTGTATGTAGCCTGTATAATGACTGTGATATGAGCTTAAAAGTAAAGGCAGTAAAAATACCCCAAAAACGCCTAGGGCCCATAGGGTTAAGTGTTACAAAAAATTCAAAATGGCAGAAAATCTGTATAAGCGGAAGTTATGGGTTCTTGAGGCAAATTTGTTCCTCATGAGGAGAGGCATCTCTGTGTTTCAAAGTTTCATGTCTCTACGACATACGGGGCATGAGATATGCCCATTCAAAGTTTGCAATTTCAGTCGGTTGCTATAGCGCCCCCCTTTGGCCAATTGATGTTATATTGCTTCATTCACATCCTCCCATGACCCTCTACCACTGTGCCAAATTTCACATGGATTGACCAAGTCAGTGAGGAGAAAAACCTGGAACAGAGACACAGACAGAGTTTTCGTCATTATATAGTAAGATAAGATATTGAAAATAAAACTTGTGCATCAGGAGGAGTGTTACAGTTAGTTCCACCTTGGCTGTATTTGGTTATTCAAAGCACCCAAACATTGATAAACATTAATGTGCATTAGCATGTATTTTATATTTGCTCTCATGTAGTCTATTACAGTGCAGCAACGCAGGCACATCGTCCTCGCCCTGTTCACAACTTTCTCTCTGTTGCAGTTCTAGCTGACTGGGAACCCACAGGTGGGTCTTCCAGCTCCAGGTAGCCTGACTGTAGCTTGGCAAGTTCCAGTCACAACTGTTAATAGAATGTGAGGCATGTTTGAGATAAACACTGATGACTTGTGGAGCCTTCGCACTTCATACAAAATATGTAATGATGTCTTTTTTGGCTTGTGCACCATCACGCCAGGAACACTACAGTGAGCACAAACTAGGGTTGCATACCAGTATACCAGTTTTAAGGTATACTGTGAAATTATAATAGACGGTTATCATACCGTGTACAATTGCTTATCTATGATATTGACATTTACTACACTGCTACTACTACCCTCACTACAAGTCACATTCACCCATTCACACACATAAACACTGGTGGCTGTGGCTGAGGCTGTAATACAAGGTGCCACCTGCTACTCAGTTTTTTAACACACTCACACACCGATGGAACAGCCATCAATTTGGGTCTACGTCGACATGCGGACTGGAGGAGCCGGGGAACCACTGATCTTCCAATTAGTGGAATACCCACTCTACCTCTGAGCCACAGCCGTCCCTGATTAGTCTGTTTACACTTGTCTGTTGCTCAGTGCTACGTCACGTTTCGTTGCTCTTACTCTTTCTTTTATCTATCCAATTGTGTCCAGGGTCATTTTGATATACTGCTGTTGATCACGCTCCTTGGAAATCAAAAATGGCGATGTCAGGCTACATTGTTCCTACTTTCCAATTTTTGTCTTTCTCTTGTCACAGGGTTGTACATCTGCGAGGACAATGATCAGGCACCGGAGCGTTTCCGCGGCTTGGGTATCAGGATTGAGGATGACGTGGTGATCCGAGACAAGGGGGGCCCTCTGATTCTGTCCTCTGGGGCGCCAAAGACCATCGCTGATGTAGAGAAGGCCTGTGCCCAGAGATAGGGCAGAGAGAGACAGACAAGTCACCAAGTGAGCTGTGGCATCGATGGCAGGCAGTGTGCTGTGCTTTTCCAACCGTTTCCACGGTGATGATGTCATCAGGCTCAGGGCCCAGGTACATGAATGACAGGTGGGAGCACACTGCAGGACTCTGGTTTAAGCCTCAGCGAGGCCTCAAACATGTAGAAATGTGGTGTGGAAGATCATAGATTTTGTGGGTGCTTTTGTTGTCTACCTAAATGTTTAAAGAAACTGGTTTTATATTTGTAGTTTTCAGTGAATGATGATGAAGAGCTCATCAGCTGTAAGAGGTGGGTTTAGTTGTGTCTGAAGGGGTTATGGTGTAACGGACATGTTCTTCCTCAAAATACATGTCAGGGCTCCAGCAAAACCACATGGAGACCATTCTTGATCATGTATAACACATCCATTTTGTGTTGTGATGGTGCTATCAGTGGGTTAATCCAACACTGAACTATAAATAAAAACCTAGAAACATCAGTTAACCTCTTCCATCAAGTATTCAGCTGAAGACCCAGTGGTTAGATCCAGCAACCATTTTGTTTTTCAGAATTGCCACCGTCATGTCACACCAGGACATAATTGTTTGCTTCTTGTCTCACTCAGAAAACTGTAAGCCTACATACACACACACACACACACACTTCCTTTGTCTCTTACACACACAAAAAAGCAGAAGTCTTCCCCAGCTCAAGCTACAGTAAAAAAGATCAAAACACTAAATTGTTGAACATTCACCTACCGAGCTGCAGGAAGGTCAGGGAGACCCGCAGCATGTCAAATAAACACACCACCATGTTAATACACACAGGTGATGAATAAAGATGTCTCACACAGCTGGTCCTGGTAAGCCTGGAATGATGGTAATGATTATACCAATACACTGAAAAGGCTTATAAAGTGTACACTGAGAAGGGTGTGTGTGTTACGTGTGTCTCCTCAGCAGAGAAATATGATCTTTTTTAAAGACACTTGTGTTTATATGTATTAAAAAGATCTCATTGTCACATATTTAATGCAAATACATGATTTTATTTCATATTTGGTGGCAAACTGTATTTTATTTCACTCAAATACAAGTTTAAAGTATTTGTATGTCACTCTGCTTTATTCATGTCACTGTTTAGATGTTGTACTTTTTACTCCTGGGTGGCAAGGTGGTACAGTGATTAGCACTGTTGTCTTACAGCAAGAGGGTCCTGGGTTCGAACTCGCTGGCTGGCTGGGGCCTGACAGCTCTGTGTGGAGTTTGCATGTTCTTCCAGTGTCAGGGTTTTCTCCACCTTCCTCCCACAGCCCAAAGGCATGCAGGTTAGGTTGTTTGGTGACTTAAGATTTGTCATAGGCGTGAGTGTGAATGGTTGTTTGTCTTTATCAGCCCTGTGATACTCTGTCAGCCTGTCCAGGGTGTACGCCACCTCTTGTCCAGTGTCAGCTGCAATAGGCTCCAGCCCCTCTGCAGCCCTGAATAGGATAAGCGTTTATGGACACTGAATACTTATAATCCACTAAATTTATTGTAAAGTGTAGATTTATATTTTACAGCAGGACATATGAGAATATAAGACATGATGCATTGTCATAGTTAAACTGCCCTATACTATTTGCCGTTAATGCATAGGCAACAATATTGTGATAATATAAAAGTAACACTCAGAGGGGCCATTATTCTGCCTTGAGTATATTTTACTTCTGATACTTAAAGTTCATTTTGCTGATGTTACTTTGGTATTTATTTAAGATTATTTTTATGGCTTTTTTGCCTTTATCAGAAAGGACAGGATGAGCGGGGGAAAAGAGCGGGGACGACATGCAGCAAAGGGTCACAGGTTAGAATCTAACCCATGGCCACTGCGGCAAGGGCATGGCCTTTGTACATGGGGCACCCAGGTGAGCTACTGGGCACCAGTTACTTAGGTATTTTTATGCCTCTGCACCAGCAACAGCTGTTATGTTTTCAGGTTATTCATCCATATGTCTGTGTCACATTCTTGTGAACGTGAAATCTTATAAATGCCTTGAGGGAATTTCCTCAAATTTGGCACAAACATCCACTGGCACTTAATGAGGAACTGATTAGAATTTGTTGGTTATAGGTCACTGTGACCACACAAAACATGTTTTTGGCCATAACTCATGAATTCATATGCTAATTATGACAAAGTTTCACACAAATGTCTAACAAGATAAAAATTGATCAATATCCAAAAAGTAGACTTCACTGTGACATTCTGCAAACATACTTCTCTGGCCATTATTCAACACCATAATTCACTCATCTTAGATGTCCATCTTGAAACTGTGATTTTTGCCGGGGTTAAGATGCGTGTGAAGCATCTTTTTAGAACTTGTAGCTTCTTTGCTGCAACACCCATAGTTGAAGCGTTGTCTACTGTCATGGGCACATATGAATCTGTACAGACATGGGTGTAAACTGTAACTGCATGCACACTGAAAAAAAAATGTTTTACACTGGGATTTTTCTTTGCACTTTGAATGTAAATAAGGTGCCAGAGTGCATACAAACACATCAAAGAAAAAAATTTAAATACTGCTCAAAAGAAAAAATATTAAAGGAACACTTAAACTATGTATTTTTAATAACATTTTAGGTCAACATGTAAAAGCCCAACCAGGGACAAGAGTTGAAAACTAGTGTCAAATGTGTTTAATTTGAGCGTGTCGACATATAACCACACATGCAGTTTGATCAGCTCTTTTTGTTTTGTTTTTTTTCTGAACATATACTGACCAGTAGGAAGTGAGAAAACATATATACAAATGCATACATATGCACAGAACATACAGTACAGGCCAAAAGTTTGGACACACCTTCTCATTCAATGCGTTTTCTTTATTTTCATGACTATTTACATTGTAGATTCTCACTGAAGGCATCAAAACTATGAATGAACACATGTGGAGTTATGTACTTAACAAAAAAAGGTGAAATAACTGAAAACATGTTTTATATTCTAGTTTCTTCAAAATAGCCACCCTTTGCTCTGATTACTGCTTTGCACACTCTTGGCATTCTCTCCATGAGCTTCAAGAGGTAGTCACCTGAAATGGTTTCCACTTCACAGGTGTGCCTTATCAGGGTTAATTAGTGGAATTTCTTGCTTTATCAATGGGGTTGGGACCATCAGTTGTGTTGTGCAGAAGTCAGGTTAATACACAGCCGACAGCCCTATTGGACAACTGTTAAAATTCATATTATGGCAAGAACCAGTCAGCTAACTAAAGAAAAACGAGTGGCCATCATTACTTTAAGAAATGAAGGTCAGTCAGTCCGGAAAATTGCAAAAACTTTAAATGTGTCCCCAAGTGGAGTCACAAAAACCATCAAGCGCTACAACGAAACTGGCACACATGAGGACCGACCCAGGAAAGGAAGACCAAGAGTCACCTCTGCTTCTGAGGATAAGTTCATCCCAGTCACCAGCCTCAGAAATCGCAAGTTAACAGCAGCTCAGATCAGAGACCAGATGAATGCCACACAGAGTTCTAGCAGCAGACCCATCTCTAGAACAACTGTTAAGAGGAGACTGCGCGAATCAGGCCTTCATGGTCAAATAGCTGCTAGGAAACCACTGCTAAGGAGAGGCAACAAGCAGAAGAGAATTGTTTGGGCCAAGAAACACAAGGAATGGACATTAGACCAGTGGAAATCTGTGCTTTGGTCTGATGAGTCCAAATTTGAGATCTTTGGTTCCAACCGCCGTGTCTTTGTGAGACGCATTCCACATGCCTGGTTCCCACTGTGAAGCATGGAGGAGGAGGTGTGATGGTGTGGGGGTGTTTTGCTGGTGACACTGTTGGGGATTTATTCAAAATTGAAGGCACACTGAACCAGCATGGCTACCACAGCATCCTGCAGCGACATGCCATCCCATCCGGTTTGCGTTTAGTTGGACGATCATTTATTTTTCAACAGGACAATGACCCCAAACACACCTCCAGGCTGTGTAAGGGCTATTTGACCAAGAAGGAGAGTGATGGAGTGCTGCGGCAGATGACCTGGCCTCCACAGTCACCGGACCTGAACCCAATCCAGATGGTTTGGGGTGAGCTGGACCGCAGAGTGAAGGCAAAGGGGCCAACAAGTGCTAAACACCTCTGGGAACTCCTTCAAGACTGTTGGAAAACCATTTCAGGTGACTACCTCTTGAAGCTCATGGAGAGAATGCCAAGAGTGTGCAAAGCAGTAATCAGAGCAAAGGGTGGCTATTTTGAAGAAACTAGAATATAAAACATGTTTTCAGTTATTTCACCTTTTTTTGTTAAGTACATAACTCCACATGTGTTCATTCATAGTTTTGATGCCTTCAGTGAGAATCTACAATGTAAATAGTCATGAAAATAAAGAAAACGCATTGAATGAGAAGGTGTGTCCAAACTTTTGGCCTGTACTGTATGTGCATACACATATATCCGCCTGAGACCCTGTGTCGTCATATGAGGACACAACATTTTGGGTTTGCTGCACCTTAAATTTCATTCTGCATAACTTAGTCTGCAGCCGATCCCGACAGAGAAGTGGACAAGATACAAAACCTGATCAAATTTTATGGTTGAAACTTTTTATTTGTGCTTAATAACATCTGCAGTTTAAGATTGCATACAAATTTGCACAATTTGCGCAATAGTAACAAGCTAAGACGCTGTTAATTAAAAATAACTCACACTGGGACTTTATTACTGTTTTATCGCAGCAGATTATATAGGGCAGTAAGGTGTGACAGACTGTTCCTAAAGACAAAAAGGACATTACTAGCTTTGAGTGTGGAGCATTCATTCACACAGAGTTACAAAGTGAACAAATCACAAGACTTTTAGAAATGTTGCATTATTCGCAATTTTGTTTTGTTCATGTTGCCATGTTCAGGCATTGAAATGAACAGTTTCAGATTTGAGCAGTGACTTCTAACCCACAGAGTTACAACATGTTGCACTGTTTTCAGTCGCTCAAAACATTCAAGCATTGAAATAAACTGTTTTATACTTACTTGCACACTTGTGACTATTAAAAAGAAGCCCCTTTTTTTCCCCAAAAAACTTCTTACTGTTCAAAGACAATGATTAGTTGTCTATACTTATCAAGTCCTACTATTCCCAGATAGCTCAGAGGAATTGAAGGCGCATACCAAATAAAAGCTGGGGTTTCAGAAGGACATACACATGCAATAAAAAGAAAATACAAATACAAAATAATAATAGAAATGATTCTTACAGTGTTCTTACATTGTTTTTAACTTTGATACTACACGCCATGTGTATTACATCCAATGTGCAATTATCCTGTACAGCTGTCAATATGTACCCATACATATATTTGTATATGCACATTCTTTTTTACATATGTGCATAAGTGAAAGGCATATCTATTTTCTAATTCTGATATATATCTCTTTGTATTTTATCTTTATTCTATAAGTATTCTATCACCATTCAGCTAGCTTTTTTATATGTACTATTTCAGCTGCTGTAACGTGAATTTCCCCGCTGTGGGATCAATTAAGTTTTATCTTATTAATAATAATAATAATAATAAAGGTGGAGTAAAAAGTATAATATTTCCCACTAACATGTATTGAAGTAAATTTGTAAAGCAGCATAAAAAGTCAATAAATTAAAATAAAAGTTCGTCAGAAGCAGTACTTCTGTACAGTAGTTGAGGCCACTGATTGCAGCTGTTATCACCGCTGTCTGAGTGATGGAGAGAAACATGGAGCGCCACTGGCCCCTACAGATTGAAATCGGAGACTGCCGACAGAGCACGGAACTGGTTTCCGGACAATCCCGAACACCTACGAAGACAACCTCCCCTCTTCTTCCCTTCCTCCCTCCCTCCTCCCCTTCACGCCTAATGTTGCTGTACCTCCAACCCTCCCCCCGTATCAGAGGAGTAGAAACAACAAGCCGCCATTTTGTTTGTGCGGACAGACCGTCAGAAACAGGAGGAGATAACCGAGAGAAGGAGCGACTCCGGCAACCGACGGCAGCCACTCCGGGAACCACCGGGAGGAAGAAAGAGTGGC